AGATGAGACAGAGCATCAGATGAGACGGAGCACTAGATGAGACAGAGTACCAGATGAGACAGAACACCAGATGAGACAAAGCACCAGATGAGACAAAGCACCAGATGAGACAAAGCAACAGATGAGACAGAGTACCAGATGAGACAGAGCACCAGATGAGACAGAGTACCAGATGAGACAAAGCACCAGATGAGACAGAGCACTAAATGAGACAGAGCACCAGATGAGACAGAGTACCAGATGAGACAGAGCACTAGATGAGACAGAGCACCAGATGAGACCGAGCACTAGATGAGACAGAGCACTAAATGAGACAGAGCACCAGATGAGACAGAGCAGCAGAGGAGACATGTCTCAGTTTGTCCGACCTGAGGGATCTGACAGGGATTCCAGCTGATTCTTTGCACATCTTATTTCAGTAAAATCCCTGATCCCAGTCCTCGTGGTGACCACACATCACATGAGCAGGGCGGGATCCAACAGCTTTTTAATGTATTTCTTTTATTCAATACATTTTGTTTTGTTTTTCTGAGAAATCCGAAGTGAGCAGAGTTGTAGAAACGTTATCTTTGATCTGAGCCTGCTGTGGAAAACAACTCCACACTGATGAACTTTATCTGCATCTGCTGCGCTTTTATCTGAGAAACAGAAGAACGTTGTGCAGCAGTGCCGTTCAAAGAAATCTGTTTAATGACACGGTCTTCCTGCTGCCGTCAGACCAGAGGGGCCGGGGTCAAAGGTCAACCTATCAGGCCTCAGGTTCTGGAGGCTGAGTCCATCACTTGAGTCCAGGTTTATGTTTGGGTGTCAAACAGCTGCAGGTTAACAGTTTTCTGGCTGATTAAATGAGTTTGTCAGGCACAAAATCCCAGCCCAGCCTCTGGTGTCCCTGAACGCAGCACACACAGGGTATAAAGTTGCAGCAGATCACATCAGGTGTCCCTGAACGCAGCAGAAGACACATTCCTGCAGGATGACGACATTTCAAACAACAAACAGCACTTTAACCAAACCGTGCTGTTTTTCATGGTAACATTTAGAATAAATTCATCCAGCTGCAGTCAGAGCCGGCTGACACCTGAGATCCATCATGTCTGCACACGGAGCGGAGGTAACAGGAGAAATGAACCGATTCTGATCTGCAGACCTGGGTTCAAGAAGGACCTGGCGTCCAGCTGTGTTGGTCTGAGGAGCTCCACAGGTCAACAGCTGACACATCTCTAACTTCACACATTCTGGATGAACAGAGAATAACTTTGACCTTGTCACGCTGCCCCTGCAGATGAGGACTTCTGTCAGCAGCCCACTGTGCCCGCAGCACTCCAGCACCCATGTCAAGACATTAAGACCTCGTTAGGACCACATCGAGTCTGTCTGAGGAGGAGAACCTGTTTAGATTCACTGCAGAGTACGGCGCCGCTCAGCAGGCGGCCAGAAGAGAAAAAATGGGACAAATTTTAAATATTTGCAGCAAACTGTCATTAAAATCAAGATGTACTGTCTGCCTTGAAGCCAGAGAGAAAACCTGGACTTGATGTGCGTCATGAAGGAAACATCCAGCTTCAAGCTCTGCCTCGTCTCTTAAAGGAACACGATGCTGTTGGAAACGAGAACTGATCCTTAGACAACAAGATCATGACAGTTGATCATGATTTGCTTCCCTGTGATGAACCCCAGAGCAGGAGGACGAGGCCAGACTCCACTTAATAACAACTACAAGTTGATTTTAATAAACAAAACAAATGCTGGCGGGGCAGCAAACTTACTTTAAGGAGGTGACACGAGGGTTCAGATCAGATGATCAGATCAGATGATCAGATCAGATGATCAGATCAGGCACAGGGAGGGAGACGCTGAGGGGCGACAGGCAAACATGAGGAAAACAACATGCAGGACCAGACCCCAGAAACCTCACAGAACCAGCATACGGTGGCTCAGAGGGGACAAACCAGATGTTGACTTGGTGTGGCTGACCTTCAGGGATGTTGAATTATTTCATGTTTAAGATCATTTTGGATCCAAAGGCTCCACCTCAGACCAGCTGACCTGTTGGACCCGTAATGTGACGTCATAACCAGTTTCAGATTGGTTTCTTTAAAAGGTTTAACTTTTATTATTTTTGTGAGCTATGAAAGTTCGCTGTGGATGATCTGAGGTCTAAAACTGACCCGAAACCATCAACCCAGGACTGAAGACCTCTGGACCGGGTTTTGGTCCCAAGTCCAGATAGGGGATCCCACCTGATACAGTTCTTAACCAGGAAACATAAACCCAACAGGTAACCCTCCTGAACCAGTATACAGGTAGTTCTGGCTGCACGCGCACACGCACGCGGCTCTCACCTGCGCCGCACGCTCCCCTCTGGATGAAGATGACGGGCGGCTGCTGCAGCTTGGCGGCCCGGTTACTGACCCGCTTCAGCTCGCAGATGTTCCGGTAGGAGACCCCGTCGCTGCCGCACACCGGTTCCGAGCTGCTGCACGCGCACACGCCGGTCCTGGCCCTCTTCCTGACGGTGGCGGACGCCCCCGGGCCGCCGCCCAGCACGCACTCCATCCCTTCGGCGCAGTCCGGCTCCTCGGAGCCGCCGCACGGCTCGCCCTCTCCGGACGCGCACTCCGGGCAGCAGCCGCAGCGGTCCAGCACGTCCCCGGCCAGGCAGTCCGCCGGGACCTGGGGGCACCGGGACCGGTCGCAGGTCTCGGGACAGCTGAGGGCGAAACGCCGGACCACGACCCGCGCGTCGGAGAGCAGCCAGGAGGAGGAGAGGACCGTTACGCACAGGAGGAACCCGGGCTGCATGGTGACGGAACCGAACCGGCTGGACTGGGTCTCTGAGAGCCTGCTTTCAAAGTGGACAGGGTCAGAGGACAGGCACCAAACTCTGAGAAACTTTTCTGCTGCTGCGAGTTATAAAAGCTGCGCGATGGATGCAGGAGGCGGGGCGACGTGACGTCATCAAGAGGAGGCGGGATTTACCTAAAATGTCATAAAACCAGAATGTAACATTATAAAGTGTAAAAAACAACATTTTATTCACGATGAAACACAGAAACCTGATCTGATGTTGAAGACATTAAAACATTTATAGAAACAAAGATCAAGTGGTGCTCTAAAGTTTATGAACAGTTTATAATGTTTCTATATTTCTGCATCAATCTGAACATCAAGTCCTAAAAGTTGATAAAGAGAACTCAGTTAAACTAATGAGACTAAAATATTAGACTTGGTCATTTATTGATTGATGAAAATGATCCATTATTAACATTTGTCCATTCCTCCGTACAGAACAGCTTCAACTCTGGATGTTGGTGGTTTCCTCACATTACCTGCAGCTTCAGGTCCTTCCACAACATCTGGATTGGATGAAGGTCAGGACTTGGACTTGGCTGTTCCAAAACATGAACTTTGTTCTTCTTGAACATTCTTTGGTAGAACCACTTGTGTGCTGAGGGTCATTGTTGCTGCATGACCCACCTTCTCTTCAGATTCACTTCATGGACAGATGTTCTGACATGTTCCTCCATAATTCTCTGATATCATTCAGAATTCATTGTTCCATCAATGATGACAAGCCGTCCTGGCCCAGATGCAGCAGAACAGGCCCAGACCATGATACCACCACCACCATGTTCCACAGATGGGATAAGGTTCTTCTACAGGATTGCTGTTGTCCTTTCTCCAGACATAACTCTTTTCATTTAAAACAAAAAGTTTCATTTTGTCTCATCGTCCTCAGAACATTCGTCCAAAAGTCTTCTGGCTCGTCCTCGTGATCTTTAGCAAACTGCAGATGAGCAGCATGTTCTTCTTGGAGAGTAGTGGTTTCTCCTTCAACCCTGCCATGAACCATTGTTGTTCAGAGTTCTCCTGATGGTGGACTCATGAACATCAACATCAGTCCATGTGAGAGAGACCTTCAGTTGTTAGAAGTTACCCTGGGCTCATTTGTGACCTCGCCCACTATTCCACACCTGCTCCTGGAGTGATCTTTGTTGGTCCACCACTCCAGGGGAGGGTGCCAATGGTCTGAATGTCCTCCATTTGTCCACAATCTGTCTGACTGTGGACTGGTGGAGTCCAAACTCTTTACAGATGTTTTATAACCTTCTCCAGCCTGATGAGCATCAACAAGTCTTTTTCTGAGCTCCTCAGACTTTGTTCTTGCCATGATCCACCAACATGTTGTGAAGATCAGACTTTGATAGATCCTGTTCTTTAGATCAAACAGGGTGTCCACTCACACCTGATCATCATGAAAACACCTGACTCTAATTTCACCTTCAGATTATTGATAATCCCAGAGGTTCACATTCTTTTACCACTAACATGTGATGTTGGATCATTGTCCTCAATCAATAAAAGACCAAGGACAATATGTTTGTCTCTGTTGTTGAACTGGCTTCTCTTTATCTACTTCTAGGACTTGTGTAAAATCTGAAGATGATTTAGATCATACTGATGCAGAAATATGGAAAATTATAAAATGTTCACAAACTTTCAAGCATAATCTGTATAATCTGATCAGTCCTCAACAGAACCAGATTTCCTCGAAGAAACATCCAGACGTCCGGAATTTTCCAGGACCAGAGGAGACCAGTTGTTGGAGGGTTTGAAGGACCAGAGGAG